ATATCCACTAATATGGATATCGATCAATGATGGCCTAATTAGCTGCTCCTTTTTTTACTTACTTTCCATTTTTCAGCAGTTTTCGACTATTTATAATACACTATCGATTATACTATACTCTACAGAACCTATTAGCTTTTAATTTGGAAAGTGTAATTTTGTTTGAAAAATTGTTTTTTACACTTTACTTACTTTGATTTCGTTTAATAACTTTCTTTGCCTAGATTAAATCAAATCTAAGATGTATGTTTTAAATAATTGCGTTTTTATATAACTTTTAAAAGAATGTCTTGATAAAATTGAGACGTGTCTAGGACGTCTGAATAAGACGTCATTAAGTTTTATATATGAGACCAGCCAAAGACGTCTCTAGGGCAGCTAAAAAGACGTTTCTATGACGGCTGAAAAGACATCTCTAGGACGTCTGCAAAAAATGTCTGTAGGACTTATTAAAAAGATATCTTTAGGACGTCTGGAATAGACACCCTCAAGTTTTTCTTTTGAGACTAACTGATGACGTCTTACGGACAAGACTTGAGACGTCTTATAAACGTCCGTAGGACGTCAAAAGATAATTTAACAAAATTATCTTTTGATCCCGCTGGGCAAGATAATTTAACAAAACTTTATATATTCTTGTTAATTTATTTATTTTATTCTTTAAAAATAGCTTCATAGACCAATCATTTATCATACTTTATTCGCAACTCATGTTTGCATGAAGTTGTGTAATACTATTAAAGAAAAAAAATAGGTTGGTATCATCTGCGAACAAAAAAACGTTACTGTTGCATTTTTTATCTCATTTAAGTTAACTAAGAAAACAAAAAGACCAAGTATTGAACCTTGTGGTCTAAACACGGCATTTTGAGTATTTCGTGTTCGTTAATCATAACATATTGTTTTTTTTTAATTTATGAGCTCAATTGTAGACATAGTTATGTTGATCCGCCTGTCAATCCCATAATGACATACCCTACCTAAACTAATTCTTTTTATATATATATATATATATATAAAATAAAAAACTTTATACTGCAATTTTTGAATTCGGTTTAATCTAACATTGTTTTTGATAATTAGATATTGCGTAGCTATCATAATTTAAAATTATTTAATCACTTTGCAGTTTAAAAAAATTAATGATATTGTGTTTGAATTCGGTTTAATCTAACATTGTTTTTGATAATTAAATATTGCGTAGCTATCATAAATTAAAGTTATTTAATCACTTTGCAATTTAAAAAAATTAATGATATTGTGTTTGAATTCGGTTTAATCTAACATTGTTTTTGATAATTAAATATTGCGTAGCTATCATAATTAAAAGTTATTTAATCACTTTGCAATTTAAAAAAAATAATGATATTGTGTTTGAATTCGGTTTAATCTAACATTGTTTTTGATAATTAAATATTGCGTAGCTATCATAATTTAAAGTTATTTAATCACTTTGCAATTTAAAAAAAATAATGATATTGTGTTTGAATTCGGTTTAATCTAACATTGTTTTTGATAATTAAATATTGCGTAGCTATCATAATTTAAAGTTTTTTAATCACTTTTTAGTTTAAAAAATTAATGATATTGCTTCAAAACGTCTTTTAAGACGTTTTGAAGCAATACCAATTCAACTTTACCAATTCAATTCTAATCTAAAAATTTATTAATAGTTGCTTTAAAAAGCACAACAAAAATATAACAATAAACTAACGCTAAATATTGTTTGAGAATTTATCTAAATTTACATTTTTTATTTGCAATGCTTTGCTTAAGGTGGCACACAACTGAAAACAAGTTTTTTTGTAAATAATCAAAATTTTGATTTTTTTTTTTTTTAATGACAATTAATTTATATCAAAATAAAATAAAAAACAGACAATTTTTTTTTTTAATTAATTTTATTATCCATAATGGCCAAAAATGTGTTGTAAAACATGTGTTTTTAGTAAATTTTCAAAACCTAATAACTTAAGTTTGCCTTAACAACTGAAACTAAAATTTTGAACATAGCTTCCTAATCATATTTCACCCTGCTTGACCGTGGGAATTTTTATGATTTAAATTATTTCATGAAATATTGCATTTCTAACAAAATCACCTAATATATATATGAAATATCAATAAATCCAGCACTATAAACATCAATATTTCACTTTCTATAAATTTTTATGAAAATTCTGAGGGTTAAATGAAGTATTATATTATGATAAACAAATCCTGAAAATTTTATTATGTAATTCTGTTTTGTTAATGAGAAAATGTGTTTCAAAGTTTAAAAAAATACATATTGAGAAAAAAGCAAAAATAAGAAAAAAATATATAAGAACATAAAAATTATCAAAATCCACCAGAGATGTAACTATCAGTTGTTTCTTTTATTTGCTGATCGTCTATGAAACCTTTTTTAACTGCTCTTATTTTTTTTCTCTGCATTTTACTTTTATCAGTTGACTTTGACTTCATATGTCGAATTCTGGTTTTGTCAACTTTACTTGACGAAGCTAATGTAACAATTCCATTCAAGCCAAAGTATTTTAAAACTTCTAATACACCATTAGCACCATCATTATAATGCAGCACTGCTGAGTATGTTCCCATTTCAATTGTAGACTTACTAACAAATGTGTGCTTTGGTACGCGAGACCAAATAATAGAATTTAATGCTTCATTGGCATTTTGCGTCGTTCCATGCAAACATTTAATTAGAAGATCATCAGCCTGAAGATCCTTGATGATTGGTAAAATAAGATTCTTAATCCATATAGGTATACATGATTTTGATTTGTAATTTGTATTATTTAGAGCCCAATATTTGCACCAACTTGTCAATCCTCTTGGGCAAAACTGATGTTGCATTTGCTGGTTTTCAAAGTTGGTAAAATGAAATAAAATAGCATAAACTGCCTTTTTCATAGCATACAAGTTGTTGACATTTTGACGAATGGCCATGCCATAATAGTTTTGCATAGAATTTATACATTTTTCTGTTAGGTTACCTCTACCTGATAAAGGTGTTTTAGTGCCTTTGTGTGCTTTGACTAAATTTCTAAGTCGTGTACCCAATCTTTTTTGTACATGACCTACACATTCCAGTTTTATTGGAGTGATGTCAAAATCCTGGTAAGGGTTTGAGTTTTTGACATCTTTAAATGAAGAAGTGTCTCCATCACCTAGAAACTCTTTATAAATTAGATTATTTTTTTTAACCGAACGATTAAAAATTGTAACTGCTCCTGCAGACTCCATACTTCCAGACGAAGATTTGTGATTTATTTCACATTGATGGTCAATTATCCAACACTGATATTCTGGAGTTCCTTTTTTACTGTTCCACATTTTACAACCCATGCAGTATTTAGACAAAACTTCAATATCAATGCATTTATCACCAGAAATCGCAGTAACTACACCGTGCAATGAATTGTGACCACGTTTCTGCCATGTACCATCGATTGAAACTCTTACACATGGTATATCCTGAGCAATGTCAACTTTTTTAGAGTCCTTAATCGCTAATAACATACTTTTCTCTGAAGCACTTTTATAAGCTACCATAATATTTTTGTTTAATTTTTGAAATCCATTTTCAGATATACATTTTAAGTTCATGCAAGATGAAAATGTTTTTATAGCTCCATAACCACAGCCTACTTCTCGAAAAGCTATTATTGCACGAATATTAACATCATATGGTGAGTTAGCTGTTGCTGCATCAAATTTAGCATTTATTGATTTGTTTGATGAATTGAATCTTTTAACATAATCACAGTGTTCACATTTTAATTGAAACAAATGTGCAAATCCTTTTCTACTGGAATCAACATCTGTTAAAAGTAATGGCTGAAAGCAGTTGTTACATGCAGTTTTAGCTATAAGTTCTTTAAGAATTGAAAAATTAATAAAAACAAAATAGTTATCTTTTTCAGAATCAAATGTATTCGAGTAGTTGAGTTTGATTTTTCTTTCACTAGAACAGCTACTTGCTGCTTGAGTTGTAGACGATGTCATCGTCGATGATAAGATGTAAGAAGAAGATGATTTTTTATTTCCAACAACACCATTCCATTTTCGTTTTATCCTTCTTGATAAATTTTGTTTAGTTTTATTTCCTTGTTTATTCATTTAAAAATAACTTTATTCCAACTAAATTGAAATCACTTTTTAAATTATTTGGTATAAAATGAGAGAAAAGTTACAGTTTAAAAGACTAACATTAACAGATTAAAAACACTCTTGTTCTTAAATAAAATTTTGAATTATGACTTTTAAAACGGAGAACTAACAAGAGTCTGCGTATAACAAATTAAAACCAAGTTTGTGGTGGTGTTTTACTGATTTGAATTCAGAAAAACTCCTATGACTGATGGTTGCTAAGGCGTTGTTAGGGAATTTATTTTCAAGTGTCATCTACTAAAATGATATTAAATCAACTTTTATATCATTTTTGAGACTAATTTTTTTTTTATATGTTCAAGGAATGGTTATAGAATCAAAATACCCAAAAATCTAAAAATTGATTTTTTTTAAAAAACTTGCTTTTTTTCAGTTGTGTGCCACCTTAAAAGCAATCAAAGCATTGCAAATAAAAAGTCTAGATAAGATAAGTAATATTTAATGTCAGACTTACAAAAAATGATATTTTATATCTCTATATTTAAAATTAAATGATTTCATTTTAAACACAGCAAAAATACAATAAAACAAAATAAAATCTTGCCGAAGTGACATAATAAGTTACACGCCGAATAAACATACCTTAAGACCATAACTAAACGGGGAAGCAAAAGATAAGTTTTGAATAAGTAGTAAATGCTATGTGAAACTTTTATACTTATATCTACTATTGAGGTATTCAAAAAACGATTATTTTACATAGATTGTGAATACTTCCATAGATTGTGTTTGATTTTTTTTTTTTTTTTTACGTCAAATAAAAATGTTGTATTTACTGGGATATTTTTTAGAATTAAAACAAAAATAAATGAATAAAAACTTACAAAGAAAAAAGTAATTACAAAAATAACAGAGTGCTTGAGCGGGTTCATCCCGTCACTGTAAATCATACGACGTAAAACTAACTTGACGTTCATATTGCAATCTGGAAAGTATCCCAAAGTATATTTCTAATTAAACCTTTTAAAAAGTATTTAAACAAATAATTTTTACAGAAACGTGTTGACATAAATTGTAAAACCTTTAAACTTTTTATACTAATCTTCCAAACTATTTTTCACAAGATTATTTGATAAGTTAAACAACTACTACTTTATTTAAGGTGGGAGTGATTAATATGTACGGATTTGTAAGATGGCGCCTTTTGCAAAAATATGTATGTTTACACCTAAAATTAAAAAAAAAGATGATATTTTCTCATAAAATAATATTCTAATAAAACAAAAGCCTCTTTTAAGGATATGCTTGCTAGAAACCTCTACATTATCTAAAGACTTTTTTTTGACTAAAAGTCATTATAAATCATATAATATGAAAAAAAAATTACATTTTTGTAAATCTTTTGCCTTTCACTCATTTTTAATCAAAATTTGTTCAATTTATCTCACTTATTTAGCCTAAAAACATTTTTTTTTAATGTAAATTGGGTTATGGACTACTTTTGCTTAAAAATGTAAAACTTTGAGATTACAAAATCAATCAAATATTCAACCCGGAGTCCACATAACATGAAACATATTTGGTTTAAAAAAAAAATTTCAAAAATGTTACGCTAAAATGGCGCCGAGAGAAACTGGTGAGTTATTTTGGTTTCTAAATAGTAGTAAAAACTTTGTATAAAACTACATTAGTTATGTGGAAGAAATTTGCTCCAATTCTGAAGATCATAAATGAATTTTCAAAATTTAAAGAGGAAGATATATTAAGTCTTAGAAATTTTCTGTTTACGGAGATCCTAGAAAGGTTTGAATTAGAATAATTTTCTTCTTTAAACATTAGTTTTGATGCTGATGACCCTTTGAAGAAAAATCTAAGAAAAAGATGCGATGGCTCTACATGTTTAGATGACATTTATTTACTATCTATCTCTCTTGCGGAAAAACAGCTTCAAAAAGAGTTCACTAAACTAATCAATAATTCAAAAATTGAGAAGTTAGTGAAAAAATATTTGCAAATGTAACAGACATGAACATTTTGTCGAATTTAAAAGAATTTAATGACCGCTTAAAGACACTGCAATCAGATAATGTAAAAATTCGGGAAGATCTTCGCATGCTGCATGGGAAATATGATTAACTCCAAGAACCAAATTCTGAAATTAAAAAATCAGCAACAACTGTTTTTAAACTACCAGGAACTCGTCACTTTTTCAAAAACATATAGAAAATTCTGTTGTTACAATATCAATAAACTTTCGTTCCTTAACTCAAAGTCATACGCAACGTAAAACAAAACCATCCTTCACCGTAGAGGATTAATTAAAAAAAAGAAACCGCTTTAACTTATGCACAAAAGTTAAAATACAACCCAAAATGGCAAACCATAATACTATATTATCAACACCCACATTAGTACAACAGTCTTCAAAAAAATTGAACATAAAGGTATTGATCAAGACTGCTTGGAAGAAAGAAAAAATGATTTTAAACCGGGCGTATCTATATCAAGGAAATAACCGATTTTGGGGATTAAAATTGCAAAGAACAAATACTTTATTGCAGGAAGCCATATTATTCGAGATGTTTAACTAGATAAAGAAAGAAATAAGCGTCGGGCCGATTGCTGTCACACTTAAACGGGAAAACAAATATAACTGCTTTTTTAAAGTAACAACAAAAATTCATAAAAGACACATGGTCTCAAAACCGGAAGTTTAGGACCACAATATTATTATTAAACAATTTCGAAAACCTCGTGAAAACCTAGGAACTGAAATGATCCTTTAAAATAACGACTCAGTAACTAAAAGTCAATCTAACGTCGTAAATCGATCGAATGTGAACATCAAATATACGCAGCTCATTCATGTCCCTAAATCAAAAATTGCAATGGATGAACGCGCAATAAATTCAAATAGTTATAGTTTTAGTTTCTATGTGTATAACTGTCAGAGTCTTAAATCAAACTCATGTTATATTTCTTCCTTAATAAACTCTTTAGATATAATTTTTCTTTCCGAGCACGGCCTTTTAAATGTCGTGCGTATTATTTTTAATGAGCTTTCAGCTCCGACATATCAATTATTTTTTTCACTCTGCTAAAAAGAAAGAATAGGAAAGACTTTTTGGGGAAATGGCTTTTTAGTTCGTAAAAACTTACTGCTTTCTCTTCACGTAGTACACGAAGATGAACACATTCTTGTAATAAAAGGTTCATATGGCAACAGTGTTTTTTTTATTGGAGTTTATCTTACCTCATGCAGAAATACTTCTAAATCATTAAAACATTATTTGTCTCAACTTAGTGTATTTGCCTCCATCATTGATGCATTTGAAGATGAAGGGGAGTGTATAATTGCCCGCAATTTTAAGTCATTTCCCAAAAATTTATTTGACTTGGAAGTTCAAAATAACCAAACACAAGACAACTTTTGTAAGCATTTATCTGATTTTCTTGAAACAAATGAGCTTACTTTTTTAGATATAATTAGTGGTACTGGTCTCACCTATACTTATAAGCATAAAACGCTAAATAATTTATCAAATATCGGTCACATAGCAGTCTTAAAAGAATCATCAATATGCTTTACAAACTGTAAAATTACTCCTCCTTTACATTTAAACATGAATGACCATGACCATCTTGCTACAATACATTACACAATTACAATATGTTATATATAAATTATCTTATGTTTTTATTTATATATTTATGTTATATATAAATTATCTTATGTATAAATTATCTTATATATAAATTATCTTATATTTATATATTTATGTTATATATAAATTATCTTGTGTTTTTATTTATATATTTATATATTATATTATTTATATATGTTATATATAAATTATCTATTACTCAATACTATAAATAATATACTTAAAAAGTACAATATAATCTCAAAGTATGCATGGAAGGATGACAACTTTATTGAAATTTACAATCGTAACCTCTCCCAGTTCTTCAAAGATTACACTTTTATTGGAGAAGTAATAAAAAAAATCAAACAACATGTGAAAAAAGAAATAATACTGCCACTGAAGAATGTTTCAAAAAAAAAGAGTATTTAATCTAAATTTTGGCAGACACCAGAAGCTAAAGTATGCAAGGACATTCTCTCTCTCCTCTATAAGAAATAGAAAAAATGTAACTATAACAGATCACAAGAATCCCTTTCATTTATATATACAAGTTAGCTCGTAAAAATTTTTGTAAAACTGTAAAAACAGCTCATAACCTAAAGGTCAATAAAATTACAAAAAATATTGAATGTCTTTGATACTAAGCCTTAAAAGTTTTGTAACAATATCCGAAAAATTATATCTAGTCCAAACACTCGTATTTTTACGATAAACAAGAAACAAGTTAGGAAGTAAATTGTAGAAGAATTTTGACAAAACCTTAATACAATTTTCAACACACCCAAAGTTACTAACAACTATTCCGAACACCGCAATATTCCCCAACTTATAGTTGAACCTAATAAAATACTTTTATTAACTTCCGACATTAAAACTTGTATTTGTCAGCTAAAGTCTAATAGATCACAAACTCTTGTGAATTTACTGCAGAACATCTTAAATACTTATCTAAAAACAACCTTATTACATGGCTTTCATAGTTTTATAAGAGGATCTTTAATAATGGAGCTGTGCCGGTGTACTTATCAAATTATTCCAATAATAAATTCTTATCAATAATCACTTAATAATTCAGAAAACTCTCGCGGTATTAGTATTACATCTATCTTGATAAAACTCTTTGAATATATTATCATGCAAGTATGTCTGGAAGTATCAGGAAGCCACTCTCATCAATTTGGTTTCAAGCAAAATAGCTCCACCATGCATGCAGAGTTCCTATTGATTGAGACATTAAAACATTATAATAATAATAACTCGCCAGTATATATCTGTAATTTAGACGCAAATAAGGCCTTCGATAGCTGTAACTGTGATTTGCTGTTTGAGAAACTTTATTACAACAAAAACTTACGGCTATCAGAAGATCGCGCACTACAATCATTATACCGCTCGGGTACAACTAATATATCATACTTAGGACATAAATTAAATAATTTCCGCTTGTCTAAATTTGTGCGACAAGGATCCATTTTATCGCCACATTTATACAACATCTACACTGAAAGTGTATTAAAGCGAATTGTTTTTGATTGTATAGTTTGAACAACAGTAGAAGGTTTATTCACTGGTATTATTGCTTATGCAGATGATATAGTCCTGTAAAGTTCTACTCTTTCTGGGCTACAAGAGTTGATTAATAAAGTTCAAACGCAATGTTAAAACCTCTATAACAAATCAAACACAGAAAAAGCCGAGTTCATTCGCTCCGATAAAAGTTTTGTTACAAAAAGCATAATAAAAATTAACGATTTTTGGGTAAAACTTAATAATAAACTGAAACACCTCAGATTCCTTTGGGAAAGTCAAGGCCATGGACAAAATATAGGAACAATCAAATCAGCAAATTTAAAGGACAGAACTATTCAATTTCAATCAATCTACAGAGCTCCGTTAAAAACTAGATTTCGTTTTTGTCAACAAGTTACTAAAGTGCATTTGTTAAAATCTCTAGCTATACAAAATCTATCATACAGATTAAAAATTTGTGATTATAACAATACTTTTCTAAATAAATTAGACGCTGTTAGAAGATTAGCATTAAACTTTTGCTTTAGTATTTCAAAATACACCAAAAACTATATGCAAACGGCTGGAGCTAAGCTTCATCAGTGTTTAATTAAGCGGGAAAAAATCAATATCAAACGTTGTAACGATGAAGAAGAAGATAATTTAGCGTGATTTTAAACCAATTTAGATAACTTTAAACCAGTCCTTAAATTCTACAGCATCAGAGAACAGAGAATGATATAAAAAAAAAATGATAGAAGAATGCATTCCATGAGGAATCTAAATTCGAAACTCAACTTAGAGTATAAACTATTAGTTTTATGGCCTTTGTATTTTTTTACCTGTAATTTGGCCTATTAAAGTAGCCTAAGATTACATTTCGATTGTAGATTCTGGGCTAAAATATATTATGGCTCTAAGCCATAAAATATCATGGGCTTTTTTCTTTTCTTTTCTTTTTTTTTTATCTTTTTTATTACAATTTTTTATTTCTCTTTTTATAAGCATTTTACAATGTTCTTGATTTACAAGTTACAATAATAAAACTTAAGTAAAGATAAAGAACTACAGGAGCAAACAGAAGACAAAAGTCTTGTTTTCAAACCCCTAAAATAAGCGTAAAGTATTTTTAAAAATTTTTTAATAAATAAATTTACAAATACTTATTATATAAAACAAGTTTAACTTGTTTGATAAAAATATCGTAAAATATTGTATTAAAATATCATAATAATGTGTTTTATAAAAGTATCGTATCTTATTGTAATTGTGTATAAACAATACATAATTACAATAAGATTAAAATAAAACTTGAAATTACAAAAAAGTTTTTTGTTCTAATAATTCAAACAAATACAGTTTAACTATATTCTTAAAAAGACTTATTAAAATTACACTTTTCATATTTTCATCAAGAACTATGTTCTATAGACGAGGTCCTCTATTTGAAATTAAATAGTTAGGTGTTTTTAGAGTTAAATTACATAATTTAAAGTTATGGATATCGCACCAAGCTAAGTATTTATAACTAATTTTTAGATTTTGGTAATTTCGGTAATAATAAGAATTTTAAAACCATGTAATTTAGATTTTTAAACATGAATGGGGCTGTCTATTAATTACGTCAACAATTTTTTTGAATTTTTTACTCCCCCTCCTCTCCCCCTTATCAACAATTTGTCAAATTTCCAGAGACCCCTTCTCCCTATTAAATTACGTCAATTTTTGATTACCCCCTCCCTCTCCCTATACAAAGAAGCCACGCTACAAATTTTCCGTTATTTAAGCAATGAAACTCAATAAATAAAAAAATTGTTGACATCCAATTTAATTAACCTTACCCCCTACCTCTTGTCAACAATTGTCAAAAAAGTTCGGACCCCCACTCCCCCCTGTTTTGTTGACGTAATTAATGGACAAACCTCAATAACAAATTTTGGAACAAAAAATGTTTAACTCATAGACATTAAGAGCTTTAATTTGCTGAAGTGGGCGTGTTTATGCACATTACATATAACTCTACTGGCTATGTTTTTTTCAATCCTGAAAGTCAAGTACTTGCCTAAGGAATATTACATCAACTTATGTAACTATGGATAAAAGAGTAATATAAATTTATTAAACGTTTTTTACATAGTGTTTTGTTTTATGCTTAATGCCCATAGTTTTAGAAACTTTCGCATATTATAATTTTTCCAGTTTCGATGTTCATTAAATAATATTCATAAAATTTTAAGTGACGCAACTTTGTTTACTCTTTTGTTATTTATAGTAAGCTGGTTTAACTAGCACAACACATATATCACTATTCGTTAAATTAATATTACTGTTGCTTTAACGAAAATTATTATTAGTTAAACAATTTTATACTACTAGCAGTAAGTGGTTGTTAGTAAATAAAATAAAAAAAAAAAAACGCGTATAGAAAAGCCTAGAAACTATTTTAAAATAGAAAAGCCTAGAAAATGACGTAAGTCGACTATTAACTACTATTGAATAAGCGAATTAAAATTATTAGATTCGCTAAACAAATTTTACAATTTGTTTTAAAAATAGTAGTATTCGTTTTATGATTGGTATTTTTGTTAAACATATACTGCTATTTGTCTAACGAACTGTAGTCTTTGATGAAGAAATTATAGAGTTTAGAGTAAAGATTTTTCTAAAATTATTCAATTTCAAAAACTCAGACTAGTTCTAGGCTGCTTTAAAAAAAAGCTGTAACAGAATATTTATATTCATTTATTTGCAACAAATGTACATTTAAACTACATATGAAAGACATTTAATGTGCATTATAAAGCCGTTTAAATATTATTCTGCCAAAAACGTAACTACACGTTTTAAATTAATGTTTAATTAAATCGTGTTTTTAACAATATCATGCTTATAACTAAGCCAACCAAATATATTACTTATTAACCTAAAAAAACCTTGGATAACCACCAAAAACACTTTCATTTATAAAAATGAGTATGTATACATATTTTTACATTTTTATAAATGAAATGATTCTGTTACGCTAATTATAATTAGCGTAACAGAATTAATAACTTTAAAAAAAAACTTGTTTCTGTCAATAAAAAACCTTTCACTTCAATTTTGGTGAAGCAAGTTTTCTCTATAAGCTCATTTGACACATTTGTAAATAGAAAAACTTTGCTTAACATACAGTTGTTATTAATGCATATTTGACGGCTAAAGTCTTCGCAATAGTATAGTTTTGCGTTCGGATAAAAGGTAACCCCCAACAACCGATCTAATGTGTTCTTTTATATATTAAAACTAAATTTATTGCAACACACTAAGAAAAAAAGGTAGAAATTTCTACCCGTAGAGGTACTTCGTATATCCGACCCTATGGGTAGAAAAATATACCTTAACTTTTCGGGTGTTAAAATATACCCTTAACAAGGGTATAATAATCGACCCAAGATTTAAAATCTACCCTAGATTTAGGGTAGAATTGTCTACCTTCACGGGTACTTCGTATATCCAACCCTATGGGTAGAAAAATATACCCTAACTTTTCGGGTGTTAAAATATACCCTTAACAAGGGTATAATAATCCGCCCAAGATTTAAAATCTACCCTTTATTTTGGGTAGAATTATTTATATTTAATTATCTTGCAAATTTACATTGCCGCTTTAATTTAATTGCGCAATCGTTAAAAGTATGTTCAGTTAAAAGTATTAATAGCTCAAACTATATTTCTTAAAAGTTTAATTAATTTAATTGTATTTATTGAGGTACAAATTCGATTTTTTAAAGTTATATTTTTATAGAAATAGTCTATTATTACAAAAGTTTGTTCAAAATTCTTTGACTGAATGGTGTTGCTATGTAGTTATTTACGCCACAAACATGGCTTGCTACGAAATCTAATGTTTTTTTAAGTTTTGTGTCAAATGCAATTTCATAGACCCAGTAGGCTGCAACCAAACTTGTAACCGCACTTGATACCGTCTTGGATTTAACTATCACTATGCCGTCAAGCATTACGTTTATTTCGGCATCATCAACGCTAAAAATATTTGTTTCGCCTGCACATCTGATGGTTATTGATGGAGTGGAAACTTGTGGATTCTGTAATTACAAAAATGTATTAATTACTAATTACTAATATAATTAATGATTATTAATATCAAAATCGTTAGTAATAATAAAGACTACAAACTTGATATACAACCTTATTTATAGAAATGAAGCGATCAATGTCTTCACCAAATACAACTGGTAAAAGAAGCAAAGCAGCCGATATTTTCTGACCTGCAATTATATATGTATACGATAATAGGTGCAAAGACTATAAAAAAATTATATTATATATTTGTTATATACCTTCAATATCAACATTTGATGATGCACCAACACCATTTAATAAAATATTGACGGTTTGCAAAAATGATGTTTTTTTTATTGAAGGCAACTTTGATTTGCAAATTTCCAGAATTTTTTCTGAACGATTTTGAAAAAACTTTGTTATCTTAATTTTCAAATCTAATCCAGTGATTCGCATTGCTTCTTCAAACAACTAAAATAAGATAGCATTAATAATAGTTTATTATTTATAGTAAAAATATTTGTGACTAATATTAATTGCAATAATTATAATAATAATTAGGAATTATGCAAAAGGTTTGCAAAAAATGAAAAAGTAGTCAATAAACAAACAGCAATAAATATTTATAGTTCATTTATTGAAAACACAAAAATAACCTCAATTTCCATTGCTAAAAAAAAAAAAAACCTTTGCAATATGACTTGTGTAGTGTTGGTTTTAATAAAAATTCGTCTTGATACATAAGTCCGGCTCATTCTATCAGATATAATAATCGTGTCAGGATTATTTTTACTGTACTCCTTTAACATTAATGTTACATGCTGCTCTACACTTGAAGGGTCTTCTAAACAGTCATTTGCAACCTGCAACTTTATAAATCAGAATACAAAAAGTTAAAATTATTTATTAAAACAATACTTAAATATTACCTTTCATTGAATACTACCTTAAAAGTAAATAGCTATTACAGTTATTTATTGCAATAAAGAGTCAATCAAATTTGGGTTGACACTATCCTGGTATAAAATTAAATTACCGTACCTCACATCTAGTTATCTTTACAGTTTCATTAGTATCAGTCAACTGACTGTGAATCCTTTTGGACGCAAACTTTTTATGAGCTTTAACAGACTCATCATTCGAATATTTAGAACGTTCTGATTTAAATTTAGTTCTTAGACTATCCAACCAAGTGGCCTAAAATAAAAAACATTAACATACACATTTTTACTTATCTAAATACATAATTGAATTATGTAAACTTTGAAATAAATTTAAAAAAATTATACAGTTTTACACCATAAATATTTGAAACAAGCATTATACTTTTTATACCATTTTTTTGCAGAACATTTATTTCAAAAATCAGACTTAACAAGACTATTTAATTAAATACTCACATATAACTTAGAGGATTTGCCTTTCATAACTATGACACTGTCACATAGATTTGGATATGCTCGCACAATAGCAGAACATACACTATTCTACATCACAGATGATGGGTAGCTAAAAAACATTGTATTGATTATGATATACTAAATAAAAACTTTAATTATATATATTTATTTATTTATAATCTTGTTGTAGAAAATTACAATTGATAAAATAACATAAAATAATAAAACAAATGCTGGAGCAAGAAAAATACATTAGTGTCTTATCACCAGGCCCCATTTTGGCTTTGCCTTTATATGCCTAAGTAACTATAAATAAAATATTTGTGTTAACAGTTTCAAAACAGTTTAATTCATTTATATAGATTTTATACAGGAGGAATCTAGTTCTCTTAATGCTATTACACACTATTCAGGCCTTGTTTTAAGCATTAAGCGTAGAGCTATTTCTGTATGTGTTAAGCGATTTTAAGCAGTAAGCAATTTTTTATTATTATTATTTTAACATTTTCAAAAAGTTGCTTATCCAAATCACTTACAGCTTAAAATCGCTTAACGCATACGTAAATAGCTTTACGCTTAATGCTTAAAACAAGGCCTGACCATTCTGTGACATGTGTCCTTTGAAAATACTAATTAAAATGCCTGTAAAAAATGCACCTGGGCCAAAAACAAAAATGATGCTAATAATGATGACGATTTACCTAGATAACAAATGAAAATTTAAAAACTTACAGATCATATTGTATAAGATCTTCAAATAATATTCTCACAAGAGAATGCTCTGCAAATGGCTCTAATGAAGCCTTGTCCTTTGCCTTTTGTAGGGCTACAGAAATGTGTTGGGGAAGAACAGGAATGCTATACACAAAAGGAAACACACGCATGGTATTCTCATTCGTCTGAGAAGTCTGAATAGTTGCAATTGATGGTTCATAAGTTAATTTAAAGTCAAGCCCTGGTGTTAAACTGTTGGCAGATTTAACTGCACAAGGTTGAGGTGCAAATTCAGAATTTGTAAAAAAATCTAAAACAACAGAATTACTAAACATAACATGCTTCATTTTATTTAAAAAAATATTATCAACTAAAAAATGACCAAATAACTTAAAACAATGTTATACATACAAATGTTTAAAACTCTTAGTAAGCTCATAAAATTAGTAACCTATTGAATTAAAACTCCCTTGTTGCTCAGACTTTGGAGTGACATGGATTTCATGAGTCCAAAATTGTTCGGACCCTAGAACAATCAACACTTCATTTACACAGTGCAATAGCACCTCATCGTCATCTATTTCTGTGCCATCAGAATTCAAAACTATCACAACAGGGTTGATCAAGTTGAACTTTTTTTGTGCTGTAAAAAAACAACAATACTTATATTATTACATAAATCAATAAACTTTCATAATCTTTATTAAATATAAAAGTATTGTAAATATAAAAACAACCTTTTGTCTTTAAGCTCAACAAATTGTCAGCAACAAAAAACTTTTTCTGAACTCTATCGCTTGTCCAAACTTTAAAGTTATACATTTTTAAGCAATAACTAACCAAATACAAAGTTAAGAGTTTTTCTAAGTTTCTAGTATGTATGATTCAAAGTCTATGATGCAATTAATACTCTCAGTAAATAACATCAACAACAGATATTTTTTAAATTTACAATCATTTCAGTTAATAAATTATTTAAAATATATGAAACATATTTTTTCAAATTTGAAAAAATATGTTGTGGGTTTTGTTTTATTTTGTTGTAAAGTTTAGGTTTTTTTAACATTAACATTTATGTTAATGTTAAAAAAACCTAAACACTGAAACAGAAATGCTGATAAGAGTTACTAGTTTTATGATATTAGCCAAACATAACAAATTATTTACAATAAAATTAATTGAAAAAGAATTAAAAATAAGTTTTAGATAAAAAGAACATTTTTAGTCATTTTGTCTGGGGGGTTAATGGGGATTGTTGGAGTGAACGTCAAATTTAATAGATAGGTTGAATTTTAAATTTGTATTTATATTTAACATAAATTATTTTAACTTTTAATCACACTGTTGTGCAAAAATATCATATTTTCACCATTTACAATATATAAACTTAGAGGTTGATGATTAACAATAGCTCCAGGTGTATAAACAATCCATTCGTCGCTCTTTTCAGTAATGTAACCATCAAGATGTGGGTTATAACCAACAGAATAATGGAGAATACAACATACAAACCAAAGACCGTGCAAATATAAAATGTATTCAATTTCAGCAAACAACGGAATGCACTCTTCATCAATTACATTATAGACAACAAAAGTTTTTACACGAGATAATGTTCCATTACATTGCAAGCGATTGACAGACATAATCTTTTGATGACTACTTTTCTCAATTCCATACATTTGTTTGATTTTTGTGCAAAGACTGGTTGGAAGTATTGAATAAGGCAGAAATTGCTGTAAACCTAGAATAACCGGAGAACTCTGAATCCATTCATTTGCTGGTGACAAAAGAGCACACTTAGCCATCTGGTGTCTCTCAGCAAGAGTTTTAGTAATGTTTCAAAAGTTTTTCACACGATGAGCAATTTGTTTAAAATATTGATGTTTTGCTTCAAATCTTAGACACCAAAGTAATCTAAGAGGACCAAATTGGGCAATCATTCGTGGATAATGAACAAGAAAATGTATCTTGGGTGTAAATGATTTTGGGTTTAACCTTGTTAATAACTCATGGTGTCTAGCAATAAGGTGGGTGAGTACAGGAATCCACTCTATATCAATAATTGGTGAAAGAATAATTTGGCATATTCTTCTACTTAACAAATGTAGCATCCAATATTCATTTTCTTTTGGTACAATTTTTCCAATATATAATGGAAGATGATAAAACAATGACCACCTCTCCACAGCCTTTCCGCTGATATGCTTATTACTGGATACTAAATTAAGTGGAACATTTGAAGGCGATGGTTTATCACAGCGTTCAGTAATCCCATATTTAAAAATTTTTAGTATATTTCTGAGCTCACAGACTGTCAAAAACTTATCTTTAACAAGGCCTTTTATAACAACGCTAAAATTAACACTCATCAGTCCTTCCAATATGTCATGTAATATGTCCTGGGGCATGGAATCGATTGGATGAAAATAATTTAACATAGAAAATGGGCATTTCTTTTTAACTCCATAAACAGGCATCAAAGATGGATCAATTAACACAGAGTTAACATGATAATCGTGACTGGCTTTAGTTCGCAAATTACATTGACTTTCAGTTTTAATATCACGAATGTTAATATGTGGTACCATGCAATTTCGACAAATACGACCAGATGAGAAACATGCAGAAAAACCACCAATTGTATGTGCAGACAAATTATCACCAGATAATGTAACAATGGAGCCTTTAAGATTGTGTGTTATACCTTCAACATTAATGCTAATACCTTCATTTTGAAGTATCATTAAATCGCTCAATAATGGTTGTAGAACTAGTGCATAGCCGTGTTCTTTAATAACACTATACTTTGAAATCAATGCTAAGTGAATGTGGTTCAATGATGACCAATATTTACTCTCAATATTGCCAACAATAAAGTAAAAAACATTTATTTTATGAGTACCTTTTCTACTTCCTAGTGGGTTGCATATCTCAAGTTCATCACTATAGAAATGGAGTCTGATAAAAGAGTCACAACAAAAATGTTTTATTCGTGACTGCCATACCAAACCATCTGTATAGTCATGTAGATAATCACTAACCTGTTTTTATGCTGAAAACTACTCCAAACATCTTCACGTTTTAAATAACTTTTCAAAGTTGCCAATAAAGGAACATAGTGAAATTTAGCTTTAGCAGGATTTTTATTTTCTAACGTAACAATAAATCTATCGTCAATTGGAACAATATTATATTCAATCGGAGGAACATAGTCAAGGTTTAACTTCATATATGATTCCATCAGATGGTCTGTAGATGTTGATTTTGAAATACGCTCGTAAAAAGAATCTTCTTCAAGAATTTGTCTATACACATAATCTAGTTTCCAATTAATTCCACAATGTTTAAGTTTAGCACGAATTATTGAAGAAATACTGCTTTGATATAAATCAAACAATGTTTGAACTTGCTCAAAAATTTGCTTTGTTACTGATTTTGGAAGCATAAATTTTTCTCTACAATATAGTTTAGTGTGACACAATTGCCTAGAGAAACATTCGCTAAAATCCATAAAATCTCGCACCAAGGACTCAACAATATTTAAAAACACATTTTCTTCACTCTCCTTGGCATCATATTCCTCTGTTCTCTGATTGTCCAATTGTATATTTACAGAGTCTGTATTTTTGAGTAAAGACTCATCAAGAGCAATTTTATGGCATTTATTAATGTGCCATTTAAAAGTATTAGCTGTATTATACAAGTAATTACATTCTCCAATGCCACATACTAGATTCATAAATTTATCTTCAGAATGCTGAAGAAGCATATGATTAACTAGATCCCGACAAGTGAAAAAGTGTTTTCGACAATAAACAACTTTACACATATATATAGACATCTGAATTATTTTTTAAAAACAAACAAATATTAAAATCAAAAATTGCTAATCAATTAATAACTATGAGCTAAATTATTAAAATTACAAATTGATTATATATATATATATATATATATATATATATATATATATATATATATATATATTCAGTACATATATCGACTGATTTAGGGAGAACTCGCAAGAGAGTTGATAACACATCGAAGGGTCAGGGTTAGGGCAGGGATCAATTTATTTTCATTATTCTTCCTTTTCCCTCTTCTTTTTCTACTAAATGTTATTAAAAGAAAGGTAAGCAATTTTATCATGTTTTGCTTATCAATATGTGTAGATGTAGATATATATATATATATATATATATATATATATATATATATATATATATATATATATATATATATATACATATATATATATATATATATATATATATATATATATATATATATATATATATACATATATATATATATATATATATAAATATATATATATATATATATATATATATATATATATATATATATATATATATATATATATATATATATATATATATATATATATATATATATATATATATATATATATATATATATATATATCAGGCGCGGATCCAGCATTTTTTGATGTTTGAGATAACTAACTTCCAGACATGGAACAAACTCCAAAAATTTATATGTTTATACTTATGTCAAATAAAGATGATTTGCAAAAAATTGCGACGATTGGAGTCTGGGAACAAAAAAGCCCCAAAATTTTGGCCACACAAACCCCAAACAAGAGAGCAACAAGTTGATAAAATATTTTTTGTACAATTCTTAAGTAAATTTATATTAATCGATAAATTCTAAATTTCATACAATAATCTCTTAGTGTTCAAAAAACATGACCTTACAAAATTTGTAACCCCCTCAAATTGAGGGGGGTTAAAGCTTTGTGCAATTATAATTTTTGAACACTAAGAGATTATTGTATGAAATTTAGAATTTATTGATGAATATAAATTTACTTGAGAATTGTCCAAAAAATATTTTATCAACTTGTTGCTCTCTTGTTTGGGGTTTGTGTGGCCAAAATTTTGGGGCTTTTTTGTTCCCAGACTCCAATCATCGCAATTTTTTGCAAATGATCTTTATTTGACATAAGTATAAACATATAAATTTTTGGGGTTTGTACCATGTCTGGAAGTTAGTTATCTCAAACATCAAAAAATGCTGGATCCGCGCCTGTATATATATATATATATATATATATATATATATATATATATATATATAATATATATATATACAGTGCTTGAAGTGGGGAAAAAAAGTGGTGGGACAATTTTTCAATAATTTCAAAATACCATCCCACCTAGTCATTGTTTTATTAGGAGACGAGATAGCATCCTGCCTCATCTCAGCTCACTTAGAGCACTGTATATATATCTATATATATATATATATATATATATATATATATATATATATATATATTTATATATATATATATATATATATATATATATATATATATATATATATATATATATATATATATATATATATATATATATATATATATATATATATATATATATATATATATATATATATATATATATATATATATATAAATACAGTTATTTATATACTTAAAACTGTTATAACAGTTAAAATATTTCTTTAATAACATAAAAATAATTTAGAAGCACTTTTCCAAATAAATAATTATTTTCTTCATAAAATATATATATATATATATATATATATATATATATATATATATATATATATATATATATATATATATATATATAAATATATATATATATATATATATATTATATATATATATATATATATATATATATATATATATATATATATATATATATATATATATATATATATATATATATATATATATATATATATATATATATATATATATATATATATATATATATATATATATATATTAAAAATATGTATATATTGATTGATTGATTAAAAATATATATATATAAATATATATATTTTTAATCAAGAAAATTAAATGCAGTGATAAATTAAAAACTTTAAATGCCTTTTTCTCAAAAAAGCAAAAATGGAATTAAGATAGTCTTGTTTTGCAGCGACGATATATGGCCAGATTTTTCTGTGAGAATTCTCACGCAAAAATCTGGCCTTTTTTATAGAAAAAGTGTATATTTCTTGAACCCAGATTTAAGTGAAATACAGTTTTAAGTATATAAATAAGTGTATAGTCAACATAATCTGTTATAGCAGTTAAAATATTTCATACATGAAAATTATTTAAAGACGTTTTTCCAAATAAATAATTATTTCTTCATAAAATTCTTTAAAAATAGTATATTAGTGATTTAAATAGAAAAGAAAGAAAGAATAAAAGATATTACTTGAAAAGGAACATAATAATCTAAAAAATAGTACGTCTGGTCACCCTAATATATATAATATATAGCATTCTACTTTTCTCGCCACCTAATAATCCTACCATTTTCTCTCGCATTTTTGCTGTGCAAGGGTAGAAAATGTCAAGGTACATATTTAAATGAAGGGTAGAAATTGCCGGGGTAGAATTTTCTAACTTGATTTTGCTAATAAACGGTTCGCTGTTTGATTTTTGATTTGCGTTAAGGGTATTTTTTTAAAACCCTATTGGAAAGTAGCGAAATTTATACCTTAAGGCAGAAAAATCTACCTCGATTTCAATATAAGTATTAAGTAGCGGTAAATATACCTTCGGGTATAAAAAAACACCCCGATTTACCTTTATTTCTTAGTGTGTACACTCTTGTTTTAATTTTTTTTTAATTTTATACTTTTTTCCCCTTTTTTCCATTTGATTACCCATAAGAGTCCAGTTTATAACTTTTAATTCAAAAAAATACAAAGTTTGACAAAATAAACAGTCCGTTCTTATTGACTTGGTCACCTAACAGCTTTTTTGAGATTTTGATTGAAACCGCCTACTCCCCTTATATTGAATTAAGTATTTGTATACAAATAATAAATAGAATTTGCAAAGTGTTCTAAATAGCATAAAATTTATCTAGAAATAGTATAGATATACTTAATGCTTTATACATTATCTATTAAAGTCTCCATAGCGTGAGAGAACCATTAAATTAAATCTATATTGACAAGTCCTATTTTTATCTTGTCAATATTTCTTGTATCGGAAAAACCAAAAACACCTTTTCCAAGATTCCATTTCAACGTTTTAAAAAATTTCAATTCAACGTTTTAAAAAATTCCAATTCAAACTTTTAAAGATATAAAGGTATCGTCAGAAGATAAACAAAACTTGCCTCATTCGTACAGTAGCAAATGAACTAATAACATATTTTAAAGATTTCTCCTCTAATTCAAAACATATAAAATTTGCTTGGTACTTTGGTTAGTTGAAATGGCTAAGTGCCTGATTTAGAACTTTCTAAGGTTGCATTAAAACTATTTTCCTCTGTATTAAAAGAAAAATAATCTTCCTTATAGCTTTACCAAAAATTTCTATTTTAGAACGAGAGGGGAAACCATTTTAACTTTTTTTTTCAGAAATTTCTTCTTTTTTTTTTTTTTCTTGTAGTAATTTTTCAGGTCTCCTATTAGAGTTGGGTATTTTGTATAACATCCAACAGAATGGAAACTGAAAGCTCAAAATAATACTTTGAATGCGTCTTTTTGCACAATGGAAGTATTTTTGGTTTAGCCCCAACTATTCTTTTTATTTTCAAAATACTTGCCATAACATTAAAAGGGTGTTTAACTTGATTAAATATTGAAAACACAATGTTAATTATGTAGGGCTGTTGAGAGGGGGAGGAACAGTTTGTCCCGGACGGCAGATATCCACGGGGCGCCTAATGAAAAGAAGGTTCCAAACAAAATAATAATAATAACAAATAAG